GATTTCTCGCCGTTCAATGGAATCTGTCACATCGTGCACACGTTTTCGTCTACCACTGGAACCTTCCGTGCCAGTTTGCTCCGTACTTCCAGCAATGTGTTCTGCTGCTGCAGCTGTTTCAAGCTCAGTGTCGCTACTTCTTGGTATCTCCACTTCTTCCTCTTCTAAATTCCCAAAAATTAAGGTTCTGGCCAAAAATGTGAACACCTATTTCATCAAGGATAATAAGCAAGGCAGCCAGAAACTAAGGAAAAACGAAGACGACAAATGGACCAGGTGATTGCCATGAGCAGAATAGCATCATCTATGCTGTTTCAAGTGCCTCCCCACCTCCCATAGGCAGTAAAATATAAAAAAAGCTTTTTATGCGAACCCTTGATTCATAGGAATAATTCTAGCCCTATTTACCATCACCAGCATTTTTCTGGGGTAATTTTGCCCGCAAGGAAATGACGCTGAGCTGCAGTTCTAACTCGCCAATTTTTTTTTCGGATAGGTTCATAACTCGATGATCTGAGATGCTGGAGCGCTGAATTCTTACAGGGATGTTCCCCGTCCAAGTAGATGTTGATGTACTGAAACCCATCCGCCGTACAAGCGTGGTGTCCGCGCACGGGCCCGCTGGTACTGTGTACGAATGTGTCGATGGATCGAAGGAACCAATTAGCCTACTAGGTTGAATCAGAGACAAAGACAGTTTATTATATGAGACCCTGACAATGAACAGGATGGGTAATCGACGAATCACCAGCACTGGTACGAATACGAATAGATCGGTTGATGAAAGGCACTCAGACGGTAGTTGTGGACGAATGATACATGCGGACCTCGAATCATCGGATTCTGTTTTTTAAATCATAGTTAAGGTGTATGGCAATGAAAAATAAAAAAACAATGGTACCATGATAACAATCCTCGTCGCTGCTTTCTCCGGATGTAGCCCGGTCAATTTCCTCATCCATTTCCTCCTCGACCGATTCCGCTTCAACCTCGTCCAAATCATCATCACTTTCGCTACTACCGGAATACGAACTGTCCGTGATTTCAATCTCTTCAATTGTTGGAATGTGAAATTTGCCCTTTTCGGTGTGGCTCGCAAAAAGGCGAATATTGTCATCAAAATACACCTGAAAAAATGCAAAATTTTAGAAAACTGAAGCAACAGCTGTACCACTATAAATAGTAGAACGCAATTCAGTTTTTTGTTCAGTGGTAAAGCAATCTGATCCTCCATTCACCAGGCGTAAAACGGACAGTTTTGTGCGGGAAAAACGCATAAATTTGAATAAAAAATCAAAAAAAAATCCAAAAAACTGCGCAAACCAGCTGCAAAAAAAGCTAATTTTAATCGAATAAGCAGAATTTTGCTGAATATTGAAAAAAACTTCAAAAAAAGGGGGTTTGCGGCAGTACTTACATTGTCGAGATCGAAAGGTCGCCTGGAGTCGATCACATAAATTGTCATATTGGGCCGCAGGAATCTGGCTAACGATTTCGTGGCTCCGCAATTGAAAAGTATCACGGATCGGGCCAGCTCGCCGTGCTCAGCCATTGCTGCACTAAATGCTTGCCATCCATTCACGGGTACCAATGTGTAGGGCACATCATCGGCCAAGAATAAATCCTAGAAAAAAAAAATAACTAGCCAACGCACGGGCTGCCCGTGCAAAGATGCGTTTTTTGCATAATTCCCCGCAGTTTCTATCGCTATCGGCACCGGTTTTCCGGCAAATGCTTCTAGCTAAACAAATTAAGACTAGCCGCAAGAACTGTCAGGAAACACCCCCTGAAATTTCAGCTTTCTAGCTTTCCTGGCCCCTGAGTTAGCAACTCACCCGAAAAAAATTCCACGGACCTGTACGTGGATACCACGCATACCCGAGGGCTGGTTTTGAGCTTATTAATACATGCGTGGATGGGGAACTCCCATTTAAAATTTTAGCTTTCCAGCGTTTTTGGTTCCCGAGTTAACAGCTTGCTCGCAAAAAACTCTGGCGGGTCCGTACGTGGGTAAGACCCGCCCATTTTCGGGAGGGGTT